ATGTATGAGCAGTCTCTCCACACCATGTTCATTTTATTGCCTGTATCCTTTGGAAACAACCTAAAGCATCTCAAAATGATTATAATCCCTGTTTGTTTTAGCTGTGATAAGCTCACAGAGTCCCTCCTTGACACTGTGTTTTAGACATGGCCCTAATGATATGATTTGATACATACAAAACATATGTGACATAAATACCCGAGTAACGTTGTCATGGGCTGGAAGGCAGACATGCATCACGTGAGCCAGGTAGGTCTAGGGTTGTATGCAGATGGGAGACCCCCGCAGGAAATTCGGGGAAGGGTTGTAGGAAGTGGCACCGATGATTCAATAGGTGCAATTCTTTTTCCTCGGTTTTAGTCTTCGTTGTTATTGTGTCGGGGCATTGGTTCAATACTGAGTAAAGTCCTGACCAGCTGCGGTCATTCAAGATCCTATTGCATTTGCCGTAATTGTGTAAGCCCACTGTTCTGGCCTAGTTCCAGCACCAGAAATGAGCGTGTTCCACCTACTGAGGATTCCTCTCGCAGTTTCAGATGGAGAAGGTATTATTTACAGCGTAGTGTTGCCGTGAAGCTCTGCCTTGGAGGTGGCTGCAATCTTCCTCTGGTGGATGAAGTGACAGAGCTGGAACACACTCACAAAATGGTATTGGGGTGCCAAGTCAGGCACCATGTAGTATCGCTTCTCGGCCTCTTGAAGGCTCAGATCAAATGTAGCTAGGTAATAGCTGAATTAAAGTCGCCTGATCATCATGTAGTAACCCTGCCCCATGCTTTTCTCATCATTGTACTCCCTGTCTACTCAGTTAACCAGTACCAGTTCCCATCCTTGGGCTTCTCCTCTCAATCCTACTGTCCTAGGCCAACAAGTTGCAGTCTCATCTCCCGCACATTCAGTTCCTTGTCCTCACTTTCCCTCCCCAGCCAGTGCTGCAGCCAGGTCTCAGCAGTTTTGCAGTATAGACAGGGGCACAGAGAAAAGAGGTGTGGAGGAGAACTCATTGTGCATGTTGCAGGAAGTCAGAGCATTGGGAAACATAGGAGACATCTGAAAGGACATGACAAGTGTGACTGCTGTTAGAGAAGTGTAATACGGGAATAGAAATTTCCTAGATCTCAATGGACTTGTAAGCCAGCAAAAGGGAGAATAAATGCATCCCTTTGAACACCAAAAGGCCTTCAGAGGGGCTTTCTCAGTAAAGATTCAGCCATCAGTACATATCCCGCGGCAGAATTTTATGATCCGAATTCAACAGGAGATGCAGGAAGCTTTGCTTTCGCCCTTGGGCTGGGCTATTGGATATGCAACAAGGCTTCCCTGTCCACCCAGGTCTGCTTGATGATGGCACTGATATCTCAGAGCATCTCCTTTACTGACTCTGGATGGAGAAAGGAGGTTCTGTGATGAAAACAGGGAAAGAAAAGCTCTTGCTTTCCACATCAGAGAAGACGGGACAGATTTGCGTCGGCTGAGCTGTGAGTGACGTGGACCTTCCTATCCCAAGCAAGGCCTTGTCAAGATCTAGGGTCAAGTGTTGTATGTACAGCATTGATAGAGTCGAACAGTCTGACCCCACGTCTGAGCCTTGTCTACAAAAGGTCTTCACTGCAACCCTCTAATGGGAGCGAATTGTTTTTCTAGGGTGCCATAGATTCTCCAAACTATGGGAAAAGCTGTTCTTCGTTGGGCAATCTCTCCAAGTCCTCACAACCTTTGTGCTTCTGACAGAAAAAGAGCAAAGTCCCTAGTGACCCTGATGGCTTTTATCACAACTGGGGGGCAGGGGTCATTAGCAGCACCTTCTCCTTTTACTGCTTCAGGAGAGAATGCAGGATAAAAGCAGGACAGAATTCTAGGAAAGGAGGGTATTTTACAGCTCATCAAAGAGCAGAACAAATTAATTAGTGTCTGATGAGGATCCATTCTGACCTGGCTCACACCAGCTATCTCTGCACCCTGCTTCTGAGATCAGACCTGTGCTGCGAGACAAAGGCCCTATTGTTATGGTGCCCAATGGGGCATCCCCAAAGTGTAAGCAGTTTCACACCCAACCTGTGTGCTTACAGCTCAGGCAATTACATGCTCAGCTGCCTGGTATTTGTGCTCGCTATTAGCAGTCACCGTATTGGCATGTGTCAGTGATGTGCATAATTACCCACATAATCATGCATCCACCTTCTTTGCAAATCTGGGCCTCCTTCATTTCATAAAGCTGTTCCCCTCCTCTCCCGCTGGGTCCATGCTAGGTTGTGTCACAGCTATGAATGAAGTGGCTTTCAAATGTGACAGCAGAACTGTCCTCCTTCTATGTTAATCAGACTTGTTGGGAAACTGAGTTATAGTTCAAGCTGCACTCCTCCCCAAACCCAAGCCAGCTTGGTCTTGATGGTAGAGACAGGACCCGATTGTGTCTAGATCATCTCGCTGCACAGCCTCTTGAGCCGAGCCTTAGCTCTCCACGTGGAGAAAAAACTTTGCAAGCAAAAATGTCCTAAAAATGCGTTCTTTTGTGCATGATTTGAAAAATCACTGTAATTTCCATCTGAGAACTATTTGTCCTGATCCTGAGCTTCAG